CCACATTGTAGTTACTTTGCCCTCAGACTAAACCATGCATTTTTGAGAAAGGCCTTTCAAAATCTGCATCCAGTAGAGGTTTTCCTCAAAACGTCTTAACGTTAAGGAGTCTCTTCTGCCTTTCTGAGAATGCTGCAAGGCAAATGTAGCATAAGATCGCACAGCAGTGATCACCAGGTTCCAGGAGCTGCTCTTCTCATGCAGGGAGAAAGCCTCTCTAGCCTAGGTCTGCAAATGCAGTCATGGTCTAGGGAAATCCCTTTAGTGGGAAAACAAGAGAAGCAAACTGATGGAACATCACCATCCCTGAGTTAGAACAGAAACCGACTGTGGGGCCTAGTTCATCAGAATGAAAGGAAATAACCCACATCGTGGTAATTTATTTATAGTCTAGTGAACCGACACCAAGATACTGCTAGAATAAAACCTAGACCTGCCACTTTCAGCAGGCTGAGAACTTAACCGGAGAGGCAGTAAAATGAGTCATGAAAGCACAGGCTCTGGTGCAAGACTGCTAGGTTCAAATCCTGGCTCCACTGATTACTTGCTATGTGACCAAAGGCAGGTGACTGATTACTTCCTATTCTACCTCAGCTTCCTTATAGGTAAAATGGAAATCACACTAGCAATTACCTCAACGAACTGCTGTGGGAAACAAATGAGTTAGCATGTAACTTAGTCCTCAATGCTTAGTAAGGATCCCCTTAAGTGAACATCCCCTGAGGGGGAAAGCACAAACAAAAACCTGTCTTTCTGCCTCAGAGTGAATTGCTGGTTTCTGTACAAAATTACTATTCAAATTATATCCCAATAAATCTACCTTTTTTATGTTTCTACTTGTTCAATCAAAAAATATTTCAAATTTGTTTTAGAAATAAAACATCAAAACTCAATTTAAAATGTAAATGACAATTTTTGGAGACTTGTAATATCTCCCCAACCCCAAAAGAAATATATATATATATAAATTGGTTGTCATATTTTCACCACGTACTTAAGAATTTATCAAGCATACGAAAGTATTTTCCAAGTCTGAAGTTTCTTTTCTCCTTTTAATAATATTAAAGTGAGAATCTGAAGACATAGGTTCTGGGCTTGGCTTTGCCACAAGTTAACTACATCCTTGTCTTTACTTTATCAAGTCTCATTTTTCTCTCCTGAAAAATGAAGGACTTGGAATGAATAATTGTTCAGTCTTAGAACATGAACAATCCATGATTCTCACCATGGTTTTCTCTTCCATCACCTGTCTCACTGATACTAATCCCCCCTTTTCAGTACTTTCTCTATTTTTTTAAAATTTTATTGTTGTTGTTGACAATATACACAGCAAAACATATGCCAATTCAACAATTTCTACATGCACAATTCAGTGACAATGATTACATTCTCGGAGTTGTGCAACCATTCTCACCCTCTGTTTCTGAGTTGTTCCTCCCCCATTAACATAAACTCACTGCCCCCTAAGGTTCTTATCTCATCTTTCAAGTTGCTGTTGTCAATTTGAGGCCATACAGATAGTTCTTAAAAGGGCATAATGCTAAAGGCACACATTCTTTTTTATGAGTTAAGCTAAACTTCTGTTTGGTTTTAAGAAGACTTCAGGGGATATTTTAGGTTTAAGGGTTAAAGATTATTTCAAGGCAACAGTTTTTAGGGTACATCCAGTATCCATAGCTCCAGAAAGTCTGGAGTCCATGAGAATTTGCTATTACCTTCTCTTTTACTTCATCTTCTACCTATTCCTTGTCTTCTTCTGGTTATTGCATAACTCATGACATATCAATAAAGTTTCCGAGTTTTGGAGTGAAAGATTCATTCCCATGCCTTCAAGAGTTGCCCCATTTTTTTTTTCTCTGGTTTTCTAGCAATATGGTCTCTGTCAGCTTTGCTCCACCAAAGCCTCTCTCAGATCATCTTCCTCTGCCCTGGACCCCTTAGACTGGTGAACTTTTCAGACTGTCTAAAACCTTTCTCTGCTTCAATCATTGCTCTAGGTCAGACTCAAAGAGTTCTGTTTACTTTTCTCCTTTTGGACAATTTATGCTGCTCCTCCACAGTCTCAGTAGAAGTAAACGGCTGAGGCTGGTCTCTTAGGCCAGAAGAGGCCACTGGTCACCAGACTTGTAGATTTCACATTGCATGAAAATCCCTTCCCCCACTACCACAACTAAATTTGGAGACTGACATGAGGTTGCTAAAGTTTTCTTTGCCAAGTGACAAGAGTAAAATAAAACCATCATCAGCATCATTTCAGAAGTAAATTTTATCATTAAAAAGTAGAAGGGACACAATCTCAGAATAAAAGACAATTCTTAAATGGAACAAATTAATGACAACTTTTTAGCTTTATGTACAACTTTCTACAATGTTCTTATTTTTCTTCATATCTCCACAGAAATGGGGAAGGCTTCAGAGACACACATCTGCAGACCGGCATTTAGGATCCAATTACTACACACTCCTTATTTCAACCCTTTCAAGGATAAACTTTAATATGCTTCCGCCCACCTGGGCTTGATCTCTGCAGCCAGCATTGGGCTTTCTATTTGGATTTCTATTTATATAAGCAATCTTAGGGTGTCTCCTGCTGCTGTTCTTCACATACCAACTTTAAAGATCCCGTCCCTTGAGTTCAGCAGCCCACAATGATACAGCCGAGCAAGATTAACCTGAATATCCTCTGATCAACAAACAGATGCTCCCATACCACCATCAACCCTGTCCTCTGTGTTCAGGCTTCTGCCCTGCGTACATTTCCTCACCTTTTTACTCTCCAGAATAACTGCTTGCACTCCTTACGAGCTCAAGCTTCTGAAATCCTCTATTAGTCTAGGTCCATTTATGTTTTTTGCTCCACATTTTTGTGGCTTTCTCCCCTAAAACTTTTCTGTTTTTCTACTGATCTTCCATTTTTCTTCTGTTAACATCAACTCTGTCAGAGCTTCCTTGTTCCTGTTTCTCTGATATAAGCATGGAGGTAGGTGTACGGGGAAAAAAGGTTTTCTAAAACCCTTTTCTCCATAAAGGTCATTTAGTTATAGTAGAGTGATTCCCCTGAGGTTAGATGGCTCCTATTTAAGGTCACTGAGTCGTTACGAGTCACAATTGACTGCACGGCACACACAACAACAACAAGGTAAAGAAAACTGCTTCAGGTGTGGGAATTTAGCACACCTAGAACTATTTACTATAGAGCATAAAGTAATGGAGCCATACAAATGAAAGCATATTGCTTTTTGCCTATTTGGAATTTTTTTTTTTTTCCCTAAAGGAAACAGTAAGGAAATATATGCAAATTTTGAAAGAAAAAGAGATGAAGGAAAAAAGCTTAGAATTGCCACAATCTATGTCAATATATTTAAAGAAACTGAGCTATATTCTTACTGATCTTGGTTATGCCCCTTCAATAATCAATTTTGATAAGAGTGCTGAAAAACACTTTTTAGTCAAACTGAGTCATATTTTTATAGTATTTATTTCTTAGACGCTAGAATTTGACACAAGATTATGTCTTCCTTTATTTTCCATTTTATTTACATATTGTTTTTTTCCCTTCAACAAAAGTAATATATGAATGTTTAAAAAAAATTTTTTTCAAATATTTCAGAAATATATAACCCGGGTAGTAAAAAGCCTCTATAAGTGCCCCCACCTAACACATACACATACCCAAGATAATTACTATAAGCTGTTGCTGTATAGTCTTTCAGATTTTTTTCCTGTACACATACTAACATACATATTAGTAAACAGCAAGTTATTAAATGGGAATGATCAAACCACTTACCAAAATAAGCCCTGATATTAGTGAGGAAGTGCCTGTCAGGGCCACATAGAACTTGGGTGTTAATGTGTTCAAAAACATGCTCACTGAAAAAGAGAAAAGAACAAAGAATGCATGAGTATGTCAGTAATACCGATTCTCTCATTTTTCTTTCTGGTGAAATCACTTGTTTCTGATGACAGGAATTCTTAGAACCATAGCAAAATCTCATTAAAATGGCTCTGCATAATATACCACCACCACTGCCTCCAGTTGCTGTCAAGTGGATTCCAACTCATGGTGACCCCATGTGTGTCAGGGTAGAACTGTGCTCCATAGGGTTTTCAATGGCTGACTTTTTGGAAAATCGATCATGCCTTTCTCGAAAGGCGCCTCCGAATGGACTCAAACCTCCAACCTTTCATTCAGCAGCCAAGTGCTTTAACAGTTTGCACAACCCAGAGATTCCCAACATAACAAAGGCTTGGAATACTAGGTGTCAAGTCATATATTCTTAAAAACTAAAACAAAAACCTATATACAAAAAAAAAGAACAGCTTTTTAATTTATGTCTCCCAAAACTACTGTTGAATTTTTTTTTTTTATGAATTCATAACAGCTGAAGAGTTTAATCAAAGCTAGTTACTTAAACTGACAGTCAAAATGAGAAAATGCCCTTCTATGCCTTGTTGCACAGTGGTTAAAGCACTCAGTTGCTAATCAAAAAGTTGGCATTTCGAACCCACCAGCCGCTCCAAGGGAGAAAGATGTGGCAGTCTGCTCCCATAAAGATTATAGCCTTGGAAATCTTATGGGGCAGTTCTGCTCTGTCCTGTAGGGTCATTATGAGTCGGAATCAGCTTGACAGCAGTGGCTTTATTAAGCCTGTGGGATCAGCACATCAGAGTCCTGGATGAATCAACAAGCAGTATTTCAACCTTAGAACAAATGGAAAATAATTATATGAAGTAGCTATTAAAAATTAGAATACTATGGTGTCTTAGTCATCTGGTGCTGCTATAACAGAAATACCACATGTGGATGGCTTTAACAAAGAGAAATTTATTCTCTCACAGTCTAGTAGGCTACGAGTCCTAATTCAGGGTGTCAGCTCCAGGGGAAGGCTTTCTCTCTGTTGACTCTGGAGGAAGGTCCTTGTCATCAATCTTCCCTTGGTCCAGGAGCATCTCAGTGCAGGAACCTCAGGTCCAAAGGACGCACTCTGCTCCCAGCACTGCTTTCTTGGTGGTATGAGATCCCCACTGTCTGCTTGCTTCTCTTTCCTTTTATCTCTTGTAAGATAAAAGGTGGTGCAGGCCACACCTCAGGGAAACTCCCTTTACACTGGATCAGGGATGTGACCTTAGTAAGGGTGTTACAATCCCACCCTAATCCTCTTTAATATAAAATTACAATCACAAAATGGAGGACAACCACACAATACTGGGAATCATGGCCTATCCAAGTTGACATGTATTTCTAGGGGATACAATTCAATCCATGACATACGGTAACCTCTAAGAAGGAAGAACACATTGATAAAAGTTACCATGTATTAGTATAAGTTTTACCAACTTACTTAAAATGCTGTTAGGCTGTTCATCAAACTAATTAGATTCAATATTTTTTTAAAATGGCAAAAAATAAAATACTAAATGACTGTCCATTGCCAGACACCTTGTTGATCAATTCCTGCCACTGTATTCATATCAACTACAAAGTTAATCTGTTGACCATTAAGGTTCATGTATATATATTATAAATATATATTTATTCACTGTCATTTATATTTAGATTTTGCACAAAACTTAGATTCATTATTGCCAAAACAACAACTCAGTGGGCTTTTTGCAAGCATATTCACATTTCTTTACTGAAAATGTTTGTGGAAGGGCATCACAGCCTGTCTTGCTTTAGAAAGAAGGAATTAAGACTTTAATGCCATCGAGGGGAAAGGCTTTAGATTCTGTTCTGAACTCAGTCCAGAAAGCAAAGTAATGTCACCAAAGTGGACAGAGATGCCATGTTCATTCATTTAACAAATATTTTCCTACGTTTATGAATGAGACCACAGACAAAGAACCAAAGAATGAATCAGACACAGTTCCACCCTTTAGAAGCCCCCAGTCTGATTGGAAAACAGGCAAGTAAGCAAGCAATCCTTTAAGTTTGATAACTGCATAGACAGGTCCCATGAATAGGATGCCATGAAAACAAACAAAAGGGATGCAACTCAGGCTGGGGTGTCAGGGAAGACATCCAGGAGAAGGGGACATCTAAGCTGAGTCCTGAAGAACAAGCAGTAGTTAAGCAGACCCAAGGGGACAAGAGGCGTGACAAAGGGGAAGGCAGTTCAGGGAGAGGGAGGGGCCTGCATCAAGAGCTAGCGAGAGAGCAGGGCCTTCCCAAGGAGCTGTATGGTTGAAGAGGGAAGGAGCTTGAGTTATCGCTCCTTCGCAAAGACTCAGACAGGGAGGGTGCTCTGATTCCAATCCTTCCTGTCTACCCAGGTATCCTCTCAAAACATCTCCTCCCCCTAGCCTCTTTCTTAAATGAATTAGTTTGAGTTGTGGTCTGTCACTTGCAATCACAAGAGTCTGGACTAACCCAACCTGCTCAGTCAATATTCACCACTTGAACTAAGTGGACTCTTCCCAGGAAGCAGAAGTCATCAGCCTAGGGCTGTAGGGCAAGCAAAGGAAAATACAGTTGAGGTGCCTTTGTTGGTCATTAAAAAAAAAAAAAGGTAATGATTTTTAATTTCCCAGGCAATAGCCAGTTAGTGGAAGGAAACAGATTTTTAAAAAGACAAATAATAATAATAATAAGCAAACAATCCTAGGGCTTGTAACCACCAGTCTGATTCTGAAGTACCTAAAACTCCAAATTTCCCACTCCTCACAATCTGAATGCCCCCCATTCCTCATTATTAAAAATAAAAAGACTGCCAAAATAATATTTGCTTTGTTATTCTGTAGTTATAAGCATTCATACCTGTACCATGTACTTTTCAGTAGGTTGCTGGGGACAACCTGAGCACAGAATTCAATGAAATCCATTTGTAAAAGGAAGAGGAAAAGATGTGCCTGAATTAGAAGCACTTTAGCAGCCCTGCTGCTAATTCCCCAGCAATAAAAGCAGAAAGCTTTTGCTACTGAAAATCACCGATCCACTGGCGACAAATGACTCAAGAATTAACTGTTAAATTAAAAAAATAATAATAAGGAGAAAAATAAACACTCTACTCATTTTTTTAATTAAGATTATCTAGCAACTGTAATTAATAATTAAAATATATTTATTATATCCAATTATAGAAAGCTGCTTAGAGTTGGGAAGGATAATGGTGGGCATTAAAAGAAAACAGAGACAAGCAGAGAGTGAGAAAGGCAGAAACAGAAACATCTAGAGAGTGGGAGGCACTCATTTCATAGCCTATTAATCTTAGAGTCTTATTGGATATTCTGGCTAAAAACATTAAAATGTAGCATTTTGTAATTCTGGACATAAATATCAACACTTTGAACCCGGCATTTTAAATCATCTATTTATCATTTTACTTGGATCCACAATCAACCCCCATGGAAGCAGCAGTCAAGAAATCAAACTACACTGCACTGGGCAAATCTACTGCAAAAGACCTCTTAAAAGTGTTAAAAAGCAAAGATGTCACTTTGGGGACTAAGATGCGCTTGACCCAAGCCACAGTATTTTCAATCACTTCATATGCATGTGAAAGCTGGACAATGAATCAGGAAGATCGAAGAAGAATTGATGCGCTTGAATTGTGGTACTGGTGAAGAATATTGAATATACCATCGACTGCCAGAAGAACAAACAAAACT